TTCTTTCTTCTAAGGAGAGGATGTTGGCTGCCTTTTCCATTTCTACAGTAGGTGTAGATTTTATGGCTTCCAGAATTGTACACAGAGTTCGGTTTTGTCGAGTACCTGTTTATTGGAATGGGCTGCTGTTATCCATGACGATGATGCGTATTCGAGAGTTGGTCTGACTGTGCCAGTGTATACCTGCTTCAAGATGTGACAGTCTGCTCCCCAAGTGGTGCCTGCCAATTTCTTCTTCACACCTTTTTTTCTCATAGCTTTTTTGTTAGTTTCCAGTATGTGATGTTTCCATGTCAGACGACTGTCAAGCTTGACTCCCAGTAAGGTTGGAGAATTGGAGCGTGGAACAGCATCATTGTTGAATTTTAGTGTAAACTATTCCTCCTTTGTAGACAATAAGAAGAGTGTTGCTACAGTTTTGTCCTTGTTTACTTCGAGGCCCCATTTGTTGGCCCAGTTTATGACACTAAAAACCAAAAGAAAAGAATCATTAAATCGATCAGGAAACCACCAGCCCCAGCACAAGACGACTATTTTATTATGAACAGACCAGAACAAGTCATTATCCTCCGCCTCAGAACAGGGCACAACCGATTTCGTAACCACATGAATAGAATTCAAGATAGGTGTATCAGCCATGTGCACCTGTGGAAATGTGCCTCAGACAGCAGAGCATGTACTCCAGGACTGCACCGATTTTGACACACTAAGGCAAACCTTTTGGCCAGAAAGAACAACAGTGGAACGTAAACTCTACAGACTACTGAATGAACTAACAACGACAGTGAAAGTGATACAAGAGACAAAACTGCTGATATAGACAACTTATTTCAGAAGAAGAAGAAGACTTCTCATGACTTTTACCTGGTACCTGTTTAAGGCTGTGTTGACCTGGGAACCAAGGTCATTTTTGAAGAAAGTCCAACACTGTCCAGATTTGAACCCATGACCTTTTAATCCGCAGGTTAACGTTTAGCGGCTACAGTGTGGTGGCTGCCAGTTATAACAAGTGATAACAGATAATGTCTATGAATTACAAAAGAGAATAGTAATGGCTAAAGTGATACTACAAACGATTTCTCATATATTGACTCAAAGCTGCTAATGCACTCTAGAGGAATCGCCTGGTGGAAATAAAGTCAACAAAATAATTTAGAAATTAATAACATAAAACATTTCTTATTTGAATGTAAGTATATTGACCATTCCTATGTAAATCTCAACATAAATTGGTTCTTGACCCCCTGATAGATGTGAATGAAATGGGTTACATCTGTGATATAGGGCAGCTATTTGTGGCAGTGCTATGCTATGCTTAAGGTAAGCTGCTTACATTGATTTATTGATTTCACTGCCTGCCACACAAAGACCAGACATGTCTGTTGAAGTGACCACACTGGGTCACAAGTTGACCTAGCTATCTGATTGTCACTTGTGGTTGTTAAACTTAAACACAAATGGTTAGGAAAACAGCCAGGTAGCTGGAGCACAGAAAAAGAATTACCAGGCTTGGTTAACAGGGAGGCGGCTAGAAAGAGATCATGGGGGAAGGTTGAGTGGCACCCTTATCATTTTCTATGGTAAGGAGGGGTTTATTAAGGGGTTAAGCCTTGCTTAAGTGCACAATAATAATAATTTGTATGTGAGGAAGAGTACGTTAATACAGTAACAATATGAAATAATTAAAAAGTGGAATTCTACACACGGTTAATGAGGTGGTTAGGGGGATCACTTGATCCTCTTGCACATTACCTGAGGTGGGGGGGGGGTGGTTAGGGGGATCACTTGATCCTCTTGCACATTACCTGAGGTGTGGGGGGGTAGGGGGGAGTCTCAGTATGATTGTTCCAGAGTTTTGCGTGCACATCAGTTTTACAGATCTGGCTTATTTGTATGCAGGCTGTTGATTCCTCTTAGGCACAGTCCGACTTCAAAGGAAAGACTCCTAATTACTCCCCCTTTACAACATGGAGAAGAGGCGGGGCGGGGGGCAGTAGGTCTATTCTTTTTCTTTCTCTCTCCGCACAGTGGGGCCCCAGAACAACACATGGACCTCTGGCGTAATAATTTGGTCTGGCCCTTCAGAGGCAACCAACATTTAATATTTGACCAAATATAGCATATATTTACATAATTTTGAAGCTGATATTTTTGTATAGATTGTGAGTGATGTTATAAATATCTGTATGGCTATTGGCAGGGGAAAAAAAAAGGTTGTCCACTGCAGATTTACTAGATGTATATACCAATGTCTTTATTTATGATGTCTTTACAGTGCTCGGCTGCTTACATAGATTTATGGATTTCAGTGTTGTGGCTTGCGACACAACAGATACAGTTATTTTTGAAAGCATTTCTCCTGTTATTTCAGTAAACAGGAATTTCCCTGTAGCTAACATAGCTGGTTAGCTTGAAGCATTATAAACCTATAATGATTATAAAGTGTCAAATTCTGAAAGAACTTTCCTGAAAGGGGTAAGAAATACAATGATTTAGAAGTGTTATTTTTGAAAGGATACGTCAGAAGGGATTAATTGCTCCAGGGTGGGAAATAGTTATTGTGGTGTCTGAGGTGTTTTTGTGGAGATTCCATAGTTGGTTTTGTCACTTATTAAGATTATTTTCAGGCCAGAGCAGAGGGAAAAGAGAACAAAATAAAAATAAATACACACTTGCATTGTTGAAAAAAAAAAAAACCAAGTGAGGAAACTCCCCCCCCCCCCCCCCAACCCCCCCCCCCCCCCCCCCCCCCAAAAAAAAAAACCACAGCTATTTATGGCGCCTCTTAAGGCGCTACGCTTGCACAGATTTATTGATTTAAAAGTCATGGCTGCCACAGGGCGGGGAAAGATTCATTGTTCTAGTATCCTGATCTGTTGACTGCTTCCATACATTGCATTCCTATTTTGTCTCACTGTGGAATTACAGGGTTGACCAGAAGTCATGAAGGGTTTCAGTATTTTATCATTCCTGTATTGTTGTGTTCTAAATGTGGCAAAGCATAGCTTCATATACAGAATATACATGTATAAGTTGTGTCTGCCTGCATGTATGTCTTTTCCTGCATGCATGCAAGCATTCATGCGTGTATTAGACATTAATTTATACTGTAAATTAAGTTATAATTTTCCTTTTATATCATCAAGCCTCATGAGGAGGGATATCTAAATATTTTCTGTATAGAAAAATCACATCTCATAAATATTCAGTTTCTGCTTCCCTAAGAGTGACAAAGAGAGAGAGAGAGAGAGAAAGAGAGAGAGAGAGAGAGAGAGAGAGAGAGAGAGAGAGAGAGTTAACAAACTTTATTTTCAGAGTGTCACAAACTGGGAATGCAGGCTTGTCTTACATTCAGCCCTCCCAAACATTCATCTTTTATACTGAAATTGGATTTTATCTTGACAGACAGACAGACAGACAGACAACATAACAGTCTTCAGGGAGAAGATGAATCACTTGCAGCAGCAATAAAGTGCGAACATCGTGCCATGGTTAGATATATCACTACGATATTTCTCTAATGTAGATTTTATGCTCTATAAAAATGCAACACAAATACAGTTAACACTGACTGTTGATGCTTCTTTGATAGTTTCTCTACAGTTCATCATTATTTATGAGTTAGTTTGATTGATTTAGTTCATAATTGTTGCTCGATATCTGGTTATCATTATTATCATCACCCTGCTGGGTATACATCACTTCAGTTATTGAATACATTTTCTTTTTGTCACTTTGATCTATTGTCTTAAATCAGCTTCTCTATCAGAATACCATGTACAAAAGGGAGAAGCAATACTGACATTTTAAAAGATCTGAATATGAAGAAAGATTGGCTAATAAACAACATCTTGTTTCGGAAGCTGCAATTTTTTTGATGATATCAAGCACCATGGCAGATTGAAAAAAAAAATAGCAGAAGGCATGGTACCAGGAAGGAGGGGCAGGGGCCAACCAACAGGTTGTAAGTGACTCCTTGAATATGAAAGTGCACGAGACAGGACAGCTGGCTAAAGTCTGAGATTCTTTCAGGCAGACCGTGATGAGAGCAACGTTCTGCAAAGGACCTGCAACATGATGACGATGATCTATCATGTGCAATAGTTTAAATATTATGGATGAAATCCAGCCTAGCCCTTTTGGCCTCTCTCACCAACGTTCGTCTGCAAGTTATGTTTTTTTTGGGTGTCCTTTTTCGATATTGTTTTATTTTGACATTATTGCATTATGTCTGTTCTCAGCAAAGTTGCAGTATATGCACCACTCTGCTGACACATCTGACCTTGTCAGGGCATGTTGTGATCAGATTTAGTTGATTACATTAGGAGTTTAACCATGTGGGTTTCAGAGCCCCACTTTTGAAGTTTAAAAAAAAAACAAGAAAAACACAAGAATAGAGCCATTGCTGCTTAACAAGCATACCTAAATGGTGACTAATAAATGATTTGTTGAAATTGGATGTATTAAACCACAGCCTAGCTGTAAACCAAAGCACAGCATGCCAACCACCCTTTCATGGGTGAATAGAAAAGAACAAAAATGATTATTTGAGAACTTTAATTATCTGTTTGATGGAACTATTTAATGTGAGAGTATTGCTTGTTCTTGCAGGTTTTAACATTCACGATGCATCATTAAAATGAAGGAATATCAACTTATGCACTGCATTAGAAACAGCACACAGAAGATCCTTACATCTGCCCCCAACACCTCAGTGATATACCTAGAGGAAGAGGAGTAGGAAGAAGAAGAAGAAGACACAGCATTGTAAATGCCAGGTTTAATTCTATAACACTACAGTCTGACATTGTGAACAAACTTGACTCAGATATAAGTCATCAGCATACAGAGATGGGGAAGTAAAGGCGTTCATAAACTATCGTTGCTGAGTGTTGTATTCAAGAAAAGGTGATCTTCCTGTTTCTGATTCTGGGTGGAAAGTAGCTAATCTGAAGAGGAGCTGGTGAAGCGGTCTGCTGTCTGTTTCTGGGCATCAGGGCATGGACAGTGTCCATACTGCCATTGCTTGGTACCAGACTAAGGTTTGTGTTTGTTCTATTCTGTTGTTTCTTTCTGTTCTTTCTGTAGTCTGCAATTGTTAACTCTTTCCATACCAAACAACACACCCAACATTCATTTGCCATTCTAAAGGTAATATAATATTTGAGCTGTCTTCTTTAAAATACCTTTTGTTATTTTAACCCTTTGTGTCTGAATTATTAGTTTAACTACTTGTCTCATAGTATCTTTGTTGAAATTCCTCTGACCTGAGCTTAACCCCTTGAAGTATAGTGAGGTAAATTAACAATTTCTTGGGTTAAAAAAGTTTATGATAAAGTAAATGTAAATTAACGAATCCTTTTTACGTCATTGGCTATGTTGTTAGAATCATATTGTAGACTTATCGGCACTCTGTGAGTGATGTGGCCAACATCACAGCAGCCATCTTTACTTCCCAGGAAATTACCTGATACCCACTTAAGGCTGAATTGACCTGCTAGCCAGAGTTAGTTTTGAAAAAAATTAAAAATCCCCCTTATTGTGGATTTGAACCCAAGACCTTCGGGCTGGCAGGTGAGTGTTTAGACACTATGCAGTTGCAGGAATAGAAATTATGCTTCTCTAATTTAATAACATTTTACTTCATTCACTGACTTTCTAAGAATTATTATTAACTCACTGACCACCTCATCTGACAGTTAGTTTCCCGTCTGTGTTGTTCACTTCATGAGAGTAATTTTAATGGAGATCCATGGCAATCACCACCAGAGCTACGGAGTTCTGCAGGATGCTTTCGGCAGGCGGCTAGCCTTTCTGCTGAGAGAGACTGAGCCATATGGGATAAAAATGGTGCAATGAAGTCGATAATCTCGACTTTAACTTTAACCTTTCATATTTAATAAAATAGTTTTATTATATATATATCTCTATATATATAATGCACATGCATTCTTTTTTTTGTTGCATGGCATGGAGGTGTGTCGGCACACGAACTGATACATGCTGCAGGAGATCATGGATTGTGGAGAGGCATGATCGCCAACGCCAGTCGGCAAGGCACCTGATGATGATGATGATTCTTTTTTTCTGTTTCCGCCCTTTGAAGCACTCCGATGAAGAACATACCTTCATGCCAAGTCATCATATTCTTTGCTATCACCTTCAGCGCCTCCATAGCTTCATTCACATTAATTTTAAATTCTCTTCTCCATCATAGTATTTTTTTAGAGGCATTTAAATGAGTGTGTATGCAAATATATGACTGATTTCTTGTAAAATATCTCTTGAAATAAATAAATTTACAATTGACTTCAATCAACAGATTGGGGCATATGATAAACAACTTTGGGAGCAGTCAGTTGAGAAGAAATTACAGAAGGTGAGAATTTGCCTGGCTGTTTTATTTATGTATATACTGATGCTTTGTAATGCCAGGATACCGGGTTTGATCCCAGCTGCGGGTCTTGCGCCTTGCGTTAGTTTCGACAGTGGTATCGAGAAGCCGACCGTCCAGAAAGCAGTGGCAAACTACTGGACGTAAACTTGCCTAGGAAAACCATAACACCAAAAAATGCTGGGGCTGGTTCTGCAACGTCATGTAAAGGATACGCAACTAACTTATATACTGATGATGATGAATTCCAGACGATAGGGTTATTTTGCACTATGGGGAGGCATGGGACTCACAGACCATGGCGATGGTGAGTGTGTCTAGAAAGACCGGCTCGTGTCAAGAAAAGTATTCCACAATGATAGCATGGGATTTGACCATTGTTGTCAACATTTGTGTTTAGTCTGTTTCTTCTCATATGCTCAACTCTCATCCTTTCTGCAGTCATTTCTTCCTTCATTCTCATTCCCTTCCTGATGTTCCCTCTCTACACAACACGGTCCATGGCCCCCTCCACACAACAAGTTCCATGGCATTTTGTTCCGAGTCCACCTCAATACCTGTATCATTCATGTCCCACTTGCATACATCTTTATATTGTTGTAGAGGTCGGCCTTGACATCTTCGCCGGGGTATCCGTGTGTATAATATACTATCATAACAATAAAAAACACAGATTTAGAAACTGAGAGATGAAAGGAGAAGGAAGAAAAAGGAAGTGAAGGAGGAGGAGAAAAGGAAGAAAAAGACGAATAATAAGAACGAAAAAGAAAAAAAAAGGAGGAGTAATGGAGAAAAAGAAATAGAAGAAGCGGAACAACAACAGTCATAAATCTCATTGCATTAGAAAATGTTGTGTGTCCGAGCATGTTTACCATCTTTGAGAATGGAAGTTATTTCCATGGGAAATCCATGCATTATGTACTAATAGTGTAACAAAAACAATACATAAAAATGAAGCATTTCTTGTCTCCACTTTGTAGCAGCCACAGTTTGTCTTACATTCTGCCCCAAGAAAGAAGGTCCGTCTGAAGACAGAGTATATTGATGTAGATCTGATTCAAGGTAAGAGGCAGAGAGAGAAGGAGAGTGAGGTGAGAGAGAGAGATAAACAGGGAGAGAGAGAGAGAGAAACAGACATAAAGAAAGACACACACACAGAGAGAGAGAGAGAGAGTGAGAGACAGCGAAAAAAGTGCTTACATCAGAAATAAAAACTACTTTATTTGTTATTCTTATTGTGGGTTCTTGAGCTCCCACCACACTTTAACAAGCATTTTGTAAAAGATGACTAATTGTCAACCGAAATTTGATTTGCTGGGCCAGCAGATGCAGATATCACAGCCCAGCTGTAATTGAACATACTAACCTCGCAAGGACGAACCTAAAATAATGTTGATTTGAGTTATGTTGATTCAAGAACCGACATCACAGCACTTAGGTCATTCCTATAAGCGATCCGTCCCCATCTTCAGCAGCCAGTGCAGAGTTCCAATACTAATATTATCAGTAGCATTCTGATTAAACGTCCATCTTGCCTTTCCTCTGAGCCTCGAGTATTGGCCTGAACCGTCACTCCCCGCTGCATCAATCTCACCAGACTGTGGTGATTCATCTGCTCCTCCGAACTGTACACGCTCTCCCACAAGGCACTAACCATGTCCTTATCATGCATCAGTATTCTACCAAGTTGGGCAGAGCCAGCCAGTCTGTCTGCCTGTTCATTTTCCAACACACTGGTGTTTCCCGGAGAAATAATCCAGACAATACTCCTCACCCGTGTCCTCCGCAGTGAAGCATGCCACTCTGCATGAAGCATGCCTGACCTTCCTCAGCATGCTTTCTGAGTCAGTTACAATCACGATGATGTGTGTGTGTCGTGTTCTCTAACCAGCAGAAAGCTGCAGTGACCGCCTCAAACTTCATTCTGAAGCTGGATGTTGTGGTATCATATGCTAGGATCTCCTGCACCAAACGTCGACCATTAACTTTTGCTAAGAAGCTCCTCTTGACACTGAACCGTCTGTGTAAATGATCAAATCCTCTGACCGAGCATTATCTTGAATTAACTGCTTAATTTTCACCACTGTGGCACCTGCTGGCCAGTCCCTGCATTCGCAAGAAAGAAATCTATATCTGCAATTCTGTCTTTAGTATGATCTCAGTGTCTGTTTTAATTTACTCAGCGACCTGTCAATGTTAAATTTTGCTTGCAGAGGGGTTTTTCATGGCCACAAGTTTTGCCTTGATATGTTGTACCTGGGACAGTCTTGGAGGACGTGATCTGTTGTCTCAGATGCTAATCCACATGTACACATTTATCTGATCTTGTACAGAATGTACTGTTTCTTTACAGGCTCATCATTTACCAAGTCAAAGCCGCAGGTACCATGGGTGTATATCACACGCAAGGCTGTTGCTCGGGTTGTGTTTTTTCCATTTTACTACCACTGGTATGTTTGTTAATATTTGTTAGCGTTTGTCTGTGTTTCAGCTCTGTGGCTAAGTGGATGCAAACGCTTCGTAATGCTGGGATGCCGGGTTCGATCCCAGCTGCGGGCCATGCGCCTTGCGTTGGTTTCGACAGTGGTATCAAGAAAGCCGACCGTCCAGAAAGCCGTGGCAAACTACTGGATGTAAATAGGCCTAGAAAAACACAACTAACCTTGTCTGTGTTAGAAAACATCAGTCTTCATCATCACCAACCTCATTCTCTTTCTCTTAGAGATTGAACTTAGACCTTTCATTTAATAGGCCAGTGCTGCATCTACTTTATCGCAACAGCTCTCAGAAGAAGTAGGTCAACTATCCAAATAAACTAAAGGATCATTTATGTCTTTGGCACATTGGGCATTTACTGCTAGACCTATATTTTATAGACCAGTCGGCCCTTGGTGGGAGGATGTGGTCCACATCAAGTCGGCTGCCTTTACTTACTAGGACATTAACTGGTACTCATTTTAGACTAGGTCCATCTGTGTGCCAAGGTCACTTCCCGCCTGGCTTCAAGAGCCCCAGTTTGGGCTCTGAAAGAAAAAGAATAGACCCAATCCTTCCAACATGCATGTTGTAAAAGGGGACTAATTAGGGGTGTTTCCATCAAAGTCGGAGTGCTTCTGCCTGAGAGGCGAGGAACCAACAGTCTGCATACAACTAAGCCAGATCTGTAAAATGGATTTGCACGCAAAACTCCTTGTCTGGATCGAGGGTATGAACATCCATAACTTTATCCACCAGAGTTTACAGTCGGTGAATGAAAAAAAAAAAAAAAGAAGTACCAGGTCAGTTTAAAAAAAAAAAAAAAAAAAATCAAGCTTAATGTGGATTTTAGCCCTAGACTTTCACTGTAAAATAATAGTATGTCATTAGGATAACTTCCATGTGAGAAACTTATTACACCCAGTCCATTGTTATCTTCTTGTAATTGCTTTCTGATTCACACCGACAGACAAGTTTTTATGATAACCACGACTGTTTTTAGTTCTACACAACTGAGAACAATGGGCCAGTTTTCCCTTCTCAATGGGCTCTACAGGGGACATTCTTGCAAGACTTGTTCTGTAGTTTGCACACGCACACAGCTTAGAGGGGCACAATGGGTGAACTACTTAGATAAAAACCTGTGCATATGCTTGTTAATGTACACCCGGTAATCCAGTAACCCAGTAATCCAGTAATCATGTATCTGCTCCCTCCAGGTGGGTACATCAGACCTCCAAAAGACTGTATTACATATTAATGGCCCTCTACATTTTACAAGTGGTGACAGTCCTTGTCTACGTCAGCAACTTTGACAGTATTGAAGACGTAAGATTTGCATATTTATTTTGTGTTCTTTATTCACGGTCTGTACATGTTTGTGTACATAAGATGTGTATAGAGCAGTGTTTCCTAATCTTTTTGGCAGTCGCTGCAACTTTTTTCAATTAAAATATGTCCACGGTGCCCTAACCTAAGTAAAAGGATGAAAAAAAAAAAAACTCGTGTATCTTTGAATATTTTGCGGCGCCTATGTGAAGAGGTCACGGCTCCCCTGGGCGCTGCGGCGTACAGATTGGGAATCACTGGTATAGAGTACTGATTTTTGGTAGCGATTATGATCAGTCTGTGCATGTTTGAGCAGCTCTGATGTTTGTATGGAAACTATATTTATGATATTATACGCCATTTTCATTTGTGTTTGAGCAACTCTGATGTTTGTATGAAAACTATATTTATGATATTATTTACCATTTTCATTTGTATATTTCCCCATGTCTCAATTAATTTTTCCCTGTGTGGGTTCTGGGGCCCCATTTTGAGGGGGGGGGGGGGGTAAAAATACACACATTGCACCCCACCCTTTCTCTCCAGCAAGTATGTTGTAAAATTGATGACCCCGGTTGGCCCGCCCCAGAGAGTGTGAGGAAGGTAAAAGGGCTGAAACAATTAGACTAGAGAGATTTCTTCTGATGATCTGAAAACTTCTGTTGTGCATGTACCTCCGTAGAGTTTCTACTACACAGAGACCAAATGTTGCCCGTCATATGTTAAGAGTTCATGTAATTGTGTATTTTTCTTGATCTGAATTTCAACAGGAACTGTCGTTCACAGAAGTGATTGTTCCAGTGATTCTAATGTTCCTGTTATGTCTGATCCACTCCCAGACGGTTCTGGCTCACATTAACCACAAGCCGCCCAAACCCAACAAGACAATATCAGGGTAGGTGGACTGTTTCTACACAAGTGTGTACCATCACTAACTTCACTTTGTCCTCTGTGTGTCCTTCTTCTTTATCTTTCAGAACATCCTGAACATATTACACGTCCCTAAACCTAGGATAGACCTATACAAGACAAGCTTAGTGTACTGTACCGCTCATACCTATACAAGACAAGAAGTGTACTGTACCGCTCATACCTATACAAGACAAGCTTAGTGTACTGTACCGCTCATACCTATACAAGACAAGCTTAGTGTACTGTACTGCTCATCCCTATACAAGACAAGAAGTGTACTGTACCGCTCATACCTATACAAGACAAGAAGTGTACTGTACCGCTCATACCTATACAAGACAAGAAGTGTACTGTACCGCTCATCCCTATACAAGACAAGCTTAGTGTACTGTACTGCTCATACCTATACAAGACAAGAAGTGTACTGTACCGCTCATACCTAATACAAGACAAGCTTAGTGTACTGTACCGCTCATACCTATACAAGACAAGAAGTGTAGTGTACCGCTCATCCCTATACAAGACAAGCTTAGTGTACTGTACTGCTCATACCTATACAAGACAAGCTTAGTGTACTGTACCGCTCATACCTATACAAGACAAGCTTAGTGTACTGTACTGCTCATACCTATACAAGACAAGCTTAGTGTACTGTACCGCTCATACCTATACAAGACAAGCTTAGTGTACTGTACCGCTCATCTATAGAACTAACTTTCACAGCCAGTCAAAAATATCAACCACCCCTGTATATAAAATCATAAACTTGTTGAATATGATCTAATTACACACTTTATGTCCCTTTCAAGATGGTATTCTAAGCATATTGTTCATTTTCCTAGATTTATTACACTTAGTATTAATATTGTTTTAAAATGTATGTATACTTAGAGCACATTCCAGCAATATAATAGAAGATTTAGATGTTGTTGATGATGTTTATTATTATTACCTGCTAAAATGATATGTGAATGGAATAATGTATGCATAGAGTGAGGTCGGAATAGCAGAATGTGTGCCCAATTTTTAACTCTTTGGAAATGATCTTATTTCCATGTTAGGCCTTTCTCTTTAGGTTAAAAAGAGCTTTCTAGACAGAACCTTTGCACATTTAGCGGGGACGTTTAAGCATTTGCTATTCCCAGGACTATTGTTCCTGATAGTACTCTGCTGCACTTTTTCTTTAGGCTTTATTGCTTTCATTGCTACACTTTTTTTTAGGGTACTTAAATACTGAAATATATATATAGACTTGCTACAGACTAGGATCAAAGTATAGACAAGTCATGCATGTATGAGTGTTGTTGTGGTAAATCATGACCTTTCTGACCTTGAAATGTGAGTGTGTGCCCATGCATAGCAAGTATGCTAATCTATGTGTGTTTTCCTTGTGGGCATCACTAGATCTGCGACAGCTGTTTAATATTGTGATAGTAGAGAGTGCAAGTACTTGGGTATTCAGATAACAGCAGATGGAAGATGAATATGAATAGAACAGCTCAAGCAAAGGCGTCATTTTACAAAATGAAGAATATTAATGCTTTCTTTCTTTTTTCTTTAAAACAATTAAGATGAGAAAGAGAATTCTCAAGAACTATGTGAATCCTATCTTGATATACAAAAGGGAATCTTGGACAGTTGGCCAGTTAGGGAAAATTTATCTGGAAGTAGAGGAGATGTGTTTTTATAGACAAATGATGAGAACTGTAATGTGTCTCCTCCGCACTTAGTCTTCCTCGTGCAGATTCTACACTGGCTCTGTTGTCTAGGTGTCATGCCACAGTTCATTCCAGCCAAACTTCTCTTCTCCAACAGTCACACGTCTCTAAATGCCAGCCGACAAAAGTTGACAGCAGTTCACAGGTTTATTATTAATACAACACAAGCGTCAAGAATCAACAGTAGAACTAATCACTGATGCCATTCGGGCAAGCTCGCCTTGCTCATGCTCTAAGTCTCCAGCCATGCTGCAGACGATGGACACTGGCATGTACACGGCTGGCATAACCAACAGCCTGTAGAATACAATTGCTGTCCTAAACAGTAATTCAACACAGCTTCACTCCTTGTAGTTCAGCACTAACGTTCACTCCAGATCCACATTCATACTTATCCCTTATGGATCTAGTTTTACTTGCTTTTCACTCTGGGGTCCTGTCACAGAATGACCACCTCATCGGCAATTCCCCAGATCTCGCTTCCGCACGTGAATTGCTCAATTCTGCCTTTTTACCATCTCCCCCAAAACCCCTGCTTCTCACACTAGGGATTTCCCCAGTTCTGTAACTCAATCATACCCTGAAGTTATCCCTTTTTATAGCATCATTACAAAAACAACCTGGTTAGATTAAAAAAAAAAAGTAAAGAGAATGCCTTGAAAGAAATTAAGTCATAAAAACAACTAATTGCCCACATCAGAAGGAGACAATCTACATTCTTTGGTCAGGTCATGAGAAGAAGAAAACTGGAGTACTTCCTGACAGTGGGCAAATTGGAGGGAAAAAGAAGCAGAAGGAGACTGCAAAAAAAAAAAAAAGATGCTGGACAGTTTGACATAAAGGCATGGAAGATCATTTGTGTCAAAACTGATTGAAAGTAAACGAGACAGAAGTTTGTGTAGAGTCATGACTACCAACGCTACACAGGATGAACCATCAAAAGAAGAGGGTCTTTATTGAGTGTTAAAATACCAGACACAGTGGTTATAGCAAGTAGAAAGATAACACAAAATTTGATATTACAGAAGAAAAGGTCATGATCCTGTTTGAATTCTATAAAAACAACAATCTTTACACATCAGTAACAAATTTGTTCAAAATATATTTATCCAAGTTTTTAATTATTTTGTCTAAATATATATAAAAATATATATATACTGCATATATATATATATATATATATATATATATATATATATATATATATATATATATATATATATATATATATATATATATATATATATATATATATATATATAGATATATATATATATATATATATATATATATATATATATATAGATATATATATATATATATATAAATATATGAAAGGAGTAACCAATAAACATGAATAGAACCATAAACTAGGAATACATTCACCGGCCTAAAAAACCCACTCACATATCCGGTGACTCATACCATCACCAGTGACCTTAATCACTAAGGCTTGTGGGAAAATCTGATGTCAGTTTGGCTTAAAAAAACTTACTTAGCTCAAAAGAAACCCTTTTCAGGGTTTACGTCACTTGACACAAGTTCATCTGACTTAAAGATCAAATCTTCTAGAAGGTTCACAGTCTAATCTGTCTTGAGTGTGATTCTTTTATAATTGATTTTGTTTAATTTCTTAGATTTCCTGGTTTAGAACCTTATTTCAAAAGGGCATCTCATAGGTCTACTGTAAGCAACGCAACCGTCAGTCCCTAGGGACCACTGAGTTGTGCTACTGGTTTTGGGAACAGAGTCTGCTATGACCTTAAAGTCAAAAAGTGGGACTGTCAGTCTCTGCTACATCATCATCATGTGACCTGCCAGCTCATGAGTCTCCATAGATCATGTCCCTGGTTGACTGGAACAGCTCTCTTGATGATATCCCTTCATGCCATCATTTTAGCCCATTCAGCATCATCTGTCTTGGTCTGCCTCTACCCCTTTTTCCATTGATCTTTTCAGTTGTCACCATATTCTCCAATGTTTCTCTTCTCATTATGTGGCGAAAGAACACTGTTTGTCTCTTTCTGATTGTGTTGCTACATAGTTCACATAAAAAACATTCTCTGTTATACTGAGGCCAGTTTTCTCCACTCTGTAGCTTTCTGTGTTTGGAGGACTAGGGCTAGGTTTCCTGACAACAACAAAATGACCGGTCTTGAAAAGAATTATAATTTTATTTTGTTTGTTTGATTCCAGGGTGATCCGAAAACCTCGTCTGAAAAGGCCTTCCCGCAGGACCAGGTCTTCTGACAACAACAGCACTTGCCTAGAAGAGGATGGAAATACGGGACCATCCAAAAAATCTGGCCGACCTAGCACTGCTGAATCCCTCTCCTCAAAGGTCACCTCTCAGAAATGTCCTGACCCGGTTATATCTTCTTCCATTGACATGGAGAGTAGTCTAATGTCTCGTTCCGTCAGCGACTATGACCTCAAACCAGCAATCAACTCCACTCAAAATGAAATCCACCCAGCTGCTCCTTCTTTTGTTGTTCAAAGCCACAAGAATATGTTAAAAAATGAGGCACGTCAGCCAGCAAGCAGACACAGTGAGAGAAACTCTTGCAGCAGTAGAGAAAGTGGTCACACTTGGGACCAGGAGGCAAATACTTACAATCCACTGACTAAATGGGGAGATGGGTCTACTGACCAATCACAAGCTGTTCCAATATCAGGTTGCAGTTACAACCTACTGGACAACCTTCCAAATCTGCTGACAGTAGAGAAAATTGTCCGTGATGTTCCATTCGAAAACAAGAGTGAAGAAACTATAAATGAACCAGTGGAGAGGGTAAGTTGCAGGCAACAAGGGCAGATTTCTGATGTTAGTGCTGGGCAAAGGAACTTAAACTTTGATTTGGAAGAACAGATTGACAAAGAAGGTATTAATTCTGATCGTTGTGAGAATGATGAAAGTCATGAAGAGGAGAATGAGAAGTTGAAGTTGTGTTGTGGATTTGTTGAAAGTAGTCATATGCATGGAACTAGTTGTGCTGTTGATAATGATGGGGGGTGGGATGTGTCTGATTGTAAGCATTCCCCAGAAACTTGTGGAGATAAGGGAGAGCCTGTTGATATCATTGGTGGCGCTAGCAGTATTGACAAAAGATCATATTCTTTTGACACTTCAAATAAGTGTTTAATTAAAACTTCAGTTCACTCATTGATTAATGAGGATGTTTGCAGTGATTCAGACAAAAATAATCAACCAGGTGCAAACATCAAGACATGTAGGATGACAACACACAATTTACTTGCAGACAGAAACAGACTTGATTGTCGTTGTAAATCACCCAAGGGGCATCCATCTTGCACCAATAACCACAGTTCATCACATTTTGAACTTATTGACCACCATGTGGTTTATGAGAACACTATTGCAGACTGTTTAAGTGGAGCAGCACTGTCCACTTATGCAGTACCTCCTGCTTCTAGTCAGACCTACCCAAGAAATGTGTTGTCTCACTTGGGACCTTCAGCTACCAGCACTCTTTCCTTGACTGCCACCGTCTCATCATCATCATGTGAAACACTCCAGAATTATCTAGTCCCCTCCTCATCACCACCAACACCACTACCAACAACAGCTCAAAAATCATCCAGACAGCAGCATCACCAGCATCACAATAATGATCTCAACACCATGTCACAGCCTTGTCATTTACCTGAGTCATTCACAATCCACAATGGGCTTGACGATGAGAAGAATGATCTGGCCGAGGAAAGCCTGGAGCAGGTCAACTTCTCTGAAGGAGAACGACACACTGATGACCTGTCCAACTACAACGCATCTGACTCTGATGATGTGGACACCGATGGTTCCCAGACTGAAGTTCCCAGAATGTATGAGGAAAAGTGGAAGAGGCTGAGATTCCAAGAGCAGGCATCAGAAAGTGAATGTAAGTATTGATAAGCTAATATTGGTTATATGTCCTTCAGCAAGTTATGTATGAGGAATGGTGGAATCATGAGGAGGTGGCGGAAATGATCTCTAATGGGGATAGATGTTTGTTGGTCTTTGTTTAATCATTGTGTCATGGAGTTAGTAGAAAAATAGTTAAAAGTCACTGTGATATTTTATGAGTCAACATGGATTGATAACAAAAACTGTGGATGTATATGTTTGTGAGCAAGACCGAATGCATGTATGAATGCATGCTGGGTGTGGAATGTTCTCTGGAATCCTTATGTAGATCTTGGGGCCCCATTTGTTTGTGTGTGTGTGTGTGAGTGGATGCATGCATGCATACATGTGAGAAAGAGAGAGAGAGAGAAAGAGAGGGGAGAGAGAGAGAGAGAGGGGGGGGGGGAGAGAGAGAGAGAATAGACCCATCCCCCCTCCTTAATAAGCCTGTTGTAAGAGACAACCACTTATGGGTGTTGCCTTCAAAGTCAAGTTCATCTGCTTGAGAGGCGAGGAATCAACCGTCTGCATACAAATATGCACATAAAACTCAAATTCTAGAACAAGACCAATGTTCAGAAGCAGACTAGCAACCTCAGCTTTCCGCCAGAGTTTACTGCCGATGATCAGGGAGAAGAATCCTGTGCAAAACAGTTTAAATCTGAAGAATTCTGAGACCCTCTGGAGGATACAACAATCTTATGCGCTTATGATTCAGCACCGTATACAGGTATATTAACTTGCTGGGACTTGGCATGGGTTGTATTGATTCCACACATTTGAGGCATCTCATTGTGATGAGACTCAAACCTAATGCAGAACTGGGATTGCAAACTCAGTCAACAAATGCCTGCAGAAGTCGGATGTGTCGGCAGAAAGTCACAAATATCGCAGCCATATTGTAAGCGGGCACGATACAATTACATCTTCGGATAAACGCTGAATAAGTAGACAAATAATGTAGAGGAAGAGTAGGTTTGTTAAAATCAAGTACACACCCTGTTTTCTTCTTCTCCTCCTCCTTCGTTTGCTGTTTGTCCATGTCTGGTCTTTAGTCCTGTTCTAGTACTTGTATGTTGTAAGGAACCCACAGCCTGCATACTCATAGGCCAGATCTGTAAAACACATGTGCACACAAAACTCAGGTTCTGGAGCAAGACCAAAAAACAGAAGTGGAAGAACAGTCAGAATTTTCCACATAGTTCACAGCCGGTAAACACTAAGATAAAGAAGAACAGATATTGAGTGATGGCATGTTCGGTTGCTTGGTGTGTTGTGATGTTGTGAAGTCTCAACTGACAGTGACTTCTCGAGTCCATATTCTCCCAGGTCTTTTCATAAATCTCTAATTTTGTTATCAGTATCATATAAATAAAGTTACTTATGATTTTTTTTTAAAATGTTTTTTTTCTTTGGTCAGGTCCTGATAATTTTTTTTCCGAAGACAGTAGATACATTGAGTCAGGTACAACAGCAACAGCAGTAAAATCTGGGAGGGCATCTACGAGAAAAGATACTGCGCTCAGCAAAACAGGAATTCTCTCAGCTGGGAGTGAGTCATCCAGGTTGGTGGTCGGAATCCTGACAAGACAGTCATCACCTTTGAAAGATTTAACCATGGGAAGAAAAGCAGCCACCAGCAGACCAGTTATTACCTCATCAGGTTGAATGATTATTTTTTTTAGGTGTCTTTAAATATAGAATAAAAACCTGTCCAGTCTGCGAAGGTCATAGCAGCTGCCAGTAGCAGAAACTGCACAGTCACAGACTGTATGTGATCCCAGGATCCCATTTTGTTGAGAAAAAAATACAATAGACCTGAAATGAACTGTCAGAGAAACAAGCATGTTGTACCATGTGGCTAATTAGCGGAGTTTCAGACAGAGTGTATATGCCTGAGAACAGCAGTCTGCATACAAGTAAACCACATCTGTAAAACAGGTATGCATGCAAAATTCAAGCTCTGGAACAAAACTAAACTCTCCACAATTGACAGACAACAAGAACTTCCACAGGAGTTCACAGCTGGGAAACACTAAGAAGATTAATGACTGTTCAGTATAGGGTTTCTCTTGGGCAACTTTGCTTGCTGAATCCAGTTGTTTCTTATTTCAGCCCTTAACCATTAGGCTCAAGACTCCTCTGTCCTACACCACACTAGAAAGTGGTAAGCAGATAGTAACATGTAAAAAGTCAGTAAAGGACCCGTTTCCACACCTTGAGGCGTATTGGGCATATAGGGCTAGACCTGTATTATATAGACTAATCGGCACTTGGCAGGTGATGTGATCATCATCACACTGGCCGCCTTTGCTTCTCAGGATTTTACCTGTACCCTTTAAAGGCTGGGTCGACCTGGTAGCCAAGGTCATTTCTTCTTTTTTCAAAGTCCAGATCCGTATACGGGTATCTAGCCACTACACCATGGCGGCTCTCATAGAAACATTAGAGACTTAGAACATTGTTCGGCAAGAGACTAGACTAGGTACAACTATCTTGGAACAATAATAACATCTGATGTAAAAAGTCTTGCAGAAATTAGATGAAGGTACTCATAAATAAGAAGGTGTCACTTGCAGTGAAAAGAGAATGTCAAAGGGCTGTACAAAACCTGTTTTGCTATGTTCATTTGAGACATACCAGCTGAAAAACATTTACTCGCAGAAAATATCAAAGACGCCGAAAAGTACTTTAAACGAAGTGAACAGAAGAGCCCGTTCCTGAGATCTCTTCCTGACCTGACGCCGCGAGGCTTTCCAGGAATAGAGAAAAGAAGAAGTGGAGATGTGATTTTTGAGAAGAATGCAAAGAATAACATGGAATGATAGAAAAACAAGTGATGCAGTTCTCCTTGAGACAGGGAAAGTGGTCAGCCGATGAGAACAATTCGATGTAGATATTCAGCGTTTTTTTGGACATGTTGTAAGAAGGAATGGATTCAAAAACTTGGTAATGACTGGAAAGATTGGTGAACGGAAGCAGGGGTCAGGCAGAGACCAATACCTGGATGGTTTGGTCACATCGGGGGTGAAACAATAACATTGACCAGATCTGTGATTCTAGTGATCATGGGAGAAGGTGATAACATGACTGCCTCTGCTGACCAATACAGCACATGATAATGTTGAAGAAAAGCATTTTTAGACCATTAACATACTTAACAGTGTATGTTACTCATATCAGGTAGTGATAAAGGACAGAGTGAGCCACACAATCCGCTGCGACGACGCAGGCGCACTTCTGGAAATTCACATGACGTCGGTGAGACAAGCAAGACCAGGAGTGTGCCCTGCATTGTTGGAGTTCGTCACCATGAGGCCAAGAAGAGACACATTAGTTCTTCTGAAAACGAAGCTGCTTGTTTGCTCACCCCAGAAGAGTCAAATAAGGTAGGAGTCTTTTCTGTTGAGATCAAAGGATTTTTGGCCATAGACGTTGGGTCAGATGTTGACCACATCTTGTGCAGATTGGTCTATCTTCTTCTTCTTCTTCTTCTTTCACTGGTGGAAGGTTCTCGTTGTTTGTCCACTTCCAGACTCTAGTCCTCTTCCAGAAACTGAGTGTTGTGTGCACATCCATTTCACAGATCTGACTCATTTGCATGCAGACTGTTGGTTCCTTGCCTCTGAGGCAGATGTACTCTGACTTTGAATTTGAGCTCCCAAGTACTTGACTCTTATGACATGCTTTTGTGTGGGCAGTGGGCCTATTCTTGTTTTCCCTGTACAAAGGGGTCCTGGATACCCACACAGGAAGAAATTGGTCTATAAATATATGTCAAGCACTATACGCCCAGTGCGTCAAAGATGTTAAAAGGATCCTATTTCTTGCACACAATACATTGTTTATTAAATAAAATATTTCAAGGATTTCCCTACTGTTTATTTACGTGCATTATGTGTAACACAATGGGGCCCACCAATCAGATCTCTTTCTTATATGTTTGTATTCTAGACAAGGTTATACGGTCCTGTATGTTTATAATTGTTCTTGTGTTTGTTATTGGACCTGTGCTTGGTTAATATAAATGTATGTTACCTGAATTCTGTCCGTATTACATAGTTGTGGATTTCATGCTGTACGATAGACATGACCAATGAAGACACCTTTTTTGGGGGATGGGGTGGGGGGTGTCTAGTTGGTCATGTATCTTCAGACACATGTTTCTGTAGCAAGGCACACTTGGAGATGATAGGTTTGATTCTCTGCACGGTAGCTATAGCTTTTATGTTGTGTAGTGTGTCCTTCTATCTTTCTACTTCTTTCTATTAGTGCTGATCGATACATTGTATGTTTATTATATTTAATACTTACATAAGATTTAGATTTTCAGTGTTATGCGACCTCGTTAAAAAGGTTTGTAACAAGAGTTCAGTATGTCTTCATTGTTTCTAGATACAGGCTTTTGTTTTGGAGAAAGAAAAGCACAAATGTGGGTACTGGGCACTCAGATTTAAAAAATTCATTTTTTTTCCACAGTTATCTTGTATCTTTATTCTTCTGTTGTCAGGCCACACTGAGCTCTGAGGAGTGGGAAGACAGGATCCAGTCTGATGAGACAACATCCTCTGCCTACTCCAGCAATAGTGAGATAGATTCAGAGGAGAAGGTGCAGGAGGAAGCTGATGACAGAGCAGAATATACCAGCAGTAATTTTAACGTCATCAACTTGCTGCAGCCCGTAAGTCTAATAGACCAGTCCTAATGTTAACTTGCTACAATCTGTGAGTCTGATAAACTCATCCTAATGTTAACTTGCTACAATCAGTAAGTCTCCTAAACCCTTCCTAATGTTCTTACAGCGTGAGTCTCACAAACTCATCCTAATGTTAACTTGCCTGTCAGTCTCACAAACTCATCATAAGGTTAACATGCTGCAGCCTTCAGTTTCCCAAACCCATCCTAATGTTAACTTTCTACAGCCCGTAATTCTCCTAAACCCTTCCTAATGTTAACTTGCAGCGTGAGTCTCAGAAACTTATCCGAATGTTAACTTGTCTGCCTGTAAGTCTCACAAATGCATCCTAATGTTAACTTGCCTGTGAGTCTCACAAACTCATTATAATGTTAACATGCTACAACTTTCAGTTTCACAAACCCATCCTAATGTTAACTTGCTACAGCCCGTAAGTCTCCTAAACATTTCCTGATGTTAATTTACAGCATGTGAGTCTCACAAAACTGTACTAATGTTAACTTGTTACAGCTGGGAATCTTACAACCAATACTAATGTTAACATGTTAAGAAAACAACATTCACTGAACTATGATTAAATAGCCTAAAGAAAATAGATGAACATTTCGACCGAAGCCTTTATCAACGAGCACTAAAACAAGAAGAAAAAGAATTTTGGACACCAGCCCCTTCATGGGCAAGTAACATGGATAACTGCAAATATAGCTAATACATTGTCCTGTTTCTCCACAACTTTTTATGTTAATGAAACATTTATCCCATTCTCTTTCAGCAAACTGGATCTCCTATAGCTAATACATTGTCCTGTTTCTCCACAACTTTTTATGTTAATGAAACATTTATCCCATTCTCTTTCAGCAAACTGGATCTCCTACCAGCCTAGGGATTGCAACCCAGCCTGATAGAGGTACATCATTTTGTGAGAATGAGTTGTTTTCCAGTGTCAGTTTTTTTTTTCCCCTTCACTTTCTCTTTTACAGCTTTGAGTGTTGAGGGAGATATAAGGTTCTGCTTCTTGCTCTTTTGGCCGCCTTAACCATAGACACATCATATTGTTGTAAAGTTTCCCCAATGTTATCTATCCATCTTGTTCTTGATCTACCTCTTATCCTACGTTCCTCTCCTCTTTTGGTGTATGTCTTTTATAGTATGATGTTCTTCCTATTTCTAAAACCAAAATCAGAAGAGAATTGTTTTGTTTGCTGTTTGTGAAGAATATATAAACCAAGTTAATGTATTACCAGCAAACTCATCAGTTTGTTCATTTCCTTTTACACCTGCATATTCCTTGCAGAGTGGCAGGCATAGCTTCAGAGGTCTCCAGTAGTTGGGCTATATTTTGGAGCTTTTCTCCAGGGCATGCAGATGTGTTGGGAAATTAACAGGCAAATGATTCTGGCCAGGCCCCTTTGGAGGCAGGTGAACAAAATTGGAAGCACAGATAGATCATTAGAAGAGAGTAGTGCTGCTGGGGAGTGACCAGAGAATCAGCTTGACATTCTAGACATTCTAAGAAAAGTAAGACGGACATATATTTAGAGTGCTACTACTACCATCAACATTGGAACTCTTTGCTGGCTGCTGAAGATGAGGACAGTGCACTTATAGGAATGTCCTGAGTGCATATGGAAATGTTTTAACTCATCTCAGCTGAACTCAACATATCCTACAACTTATCCTCAACATATTCTACTTCTTCTTCTTCTGCTTCTTCTTCAGCATTCTGAGCCCTTGAGGTTCATTACTGCAGATATCACCCAGCTCATTCATCTCTCTGGTTGGCCTTCTCTTTCCAGTTTCCCATGTTTGCAGGTCTGTCTGGAAGTTATCTCTCCATCGTCTTTTTGGTCTGCCTCATGGTCTACGACCATTCAGCTCCTTTGTGTATACAGTTTTTTTTTCTCTGTCATTTGACGTTTTAATATGTCCAAGCCATTTCAGTCTATTAGATCTCATTATGTCAGTGATCCTTATTGATTTAAACAAATTATGAATTTCGCTGTTGCCTCTCACTCTACATTCCCTGATGTTTGCATCTTTGTTGGGTCCAAAGATTCGTCAAAATACTCTTTTCGAAAATTTTTAACGATTCTTCAGCATATCCTGGCACCAAAAATTAAATCAATATTTCTCATCCATGACTGCATCCAGTGTCTCGCATAGCATATTTCTGAATGTGGAAGTCAAGCGTAAACCACCATATTTAACTCTTCCAGTCCCAACCTGCGCGCCATGTGTGATCAGGCATTGCCCATGAGTACCAAACTTAAGATGATTTAACTTGTGTTTAGCTTAATAATACTATAAAAACCTGGCTAATCACTCTAATATTCCTTGGTATATTTATGTTGCTGCATCTGTGACAGTTGTGCTCTCACACGTTGTTTATGTTCACTAAGTCTTTCATTACCTTGGAGTTGTCTGACTGATGTTCTAATGCTTAAAGAGTTTAAAGAATACTTCTTTGGATAAACACAAAGCTGGATTTATGCTGTATTGACATGCTGTTAGCCACAAGACAGGAAAACAATGCAAAGCCACCTATCGTTACAGAAGCTAGAACAGAATGGGAGTTGTTAGCCTAAAAACACTTGGAGAGATACTCAGGAGGAGATCGGAGCACTTATGGTCATATATAATGAACAGTGACATGCTCTTAAAATGTCCTACCCATTTTAAAACTGGGTAAACTGCCACTCACTGGAAGCATAATATAACTGTTCTTATTTCTGTTCATTGTAGTCTCTTGTTTGATTTGGGAGAGAAATGAGTGCAAGAAAACTGACCTAACTGCTCTGGACATTGGCTGGGCGATCATAGACAAGGTGGACAGTCTTCCGGGAATCTTCAGACTATTTTATTATTGGTCTGTTGTTCACATTCATCATCAGCATGGTGAGTTGGGGAAGTTAGGGCTGTTTTGGGAAGTTGGGGCTGTGTGGGGAAGTTATGGCTTTGTGGGGAAGGGGGCTGTGTGGGGAAGTTGGGGCTGTGTGGGGAAAGTTGGAAAGTGTGGGGAAGTTGAGGCTGTGTGGGGAAGTTGAGGCTGTGTGGGGAAGTTGAGGCTGTGTGGGGAAGTTGAGGCTGTGTGGGGAAGTTGAGGCTGTGTGGGGAAGTTGGGGCTGTGTGGAGAAGTTGAGGCTGTGTGGGGAAGTTGGGGCTGTGTGGGGAAGTTGAGGCAGTGTGGGGAAGTTGAGGCAATGTGCCATATGGTTGTGTGAAGGAAATTAGACATGTGGGTGGTAGGGTTGTTTGTGCGGAATTTGAAACTGTTTATGGGAAATTTGTAGATTGGAATGGGTTGGCACATGATTCCAGAAGTATTTATCACATCAGCCTGTTTGTAAAATAGCTTGCCACCCAGAGGAGCTGCAGCAGCCAGTCTGTCAACTTTCTCATAACTCTAGCCAACCACATACCCTTGGTAAAGAGCCCATGATGTGTCAAAACCTTAGCATCCAGTCAATTCTAGACAAAACTATCTTGCCACCCAGAAGAGCGGCAGCATCCATTCTATCAGCTTTCTCGCTGCTCTGCACACCAACATAACCTGGGTGAAAAGCCCTTAACCTTAGCATCTAAAAAGCAAAACTTATTGAAAAATCCAAAAGATTTGTTCTCCTATGTTTATCTGTGAGAATTTTTTGTTAGTGAAGAAACTATCAGAGATAAAAAATTTTCAATAAACTTCTGAAAGTAAATGAAGAAAAGGAGAGCAATGGAAACCTTGGACATATTTCTGCACTTATAACATTAAAATTAGTTGCACATCATTCACACCATCATGATCATCAGTCTGCAGGTCCTTTACAGAATGTTGCTGTCTTCACGGCATACCTGAAAGTCTCTCTTTCTCTAGCTAGTTCTCCAGCCCAATGTGCTTTCATAGCCAGTGCATCTTCTGTGTTTAGTCTACCTCTTTGTGGATGTCATCTCTGTCTCGGTTTCCAGAAACTGCATGCTCCATCACCATTCTCTCCAGCCCACTATGACACTTAACATAGCCAGCGTTCTTGACAGGATGTCAAAAACCAAACCCAGCATTAGTTGGCTGGTAATGTTTTTTACTCGGTAGTTTTACGTTTAATGAGAGAACTTGCCAGATTCTAGTGAAACTGAAGGTAGAGAAGGGAAGCTAGCATTGTATAGGACACACATTGAGAAAACCTGTTAACAGTGTAACTACAATGTATCTGCTGATGTGTTAAGGAATAAAGGAGGAATAAACGCAGACCACAAAACAGAGAAGGGAACTAGAGTGAAGATCAAGATGGGAAGGACATGAACTGAACTGAATGTGATAGCAAAGGATAGGACAGTTTAGCCTGAGTTGGTTTGAGGGCTTGTGCTTCATTGGGAACTAAAGGGCAGAAGAAGAAGAAGTTTGCTGTTTATAACATTAAAGAATAAAAATTTTTTTTCCTATTGACCTTGTGATTACAGGTGTGAATCCCATTGAGACAGATATTGTAAATTAAACTGGACTAATTAATCCACTTATAGAGAATGCTTCGATATTGTCATACTATACAAGACATACACCAGAAGAAGAGAAGGGTGTAGAGCACAAGGTAGGCCAAGAACAAGATGGAAAGATAATAGTAGAGAAACTTTACAACCACATATGTATCTGTGGTCGAGGCAGCCAGAAGAGCAAGAAGCAAAACCTCATGTCTCCCTCACACCTGAAGCGGTAAAGGAGGGGTGAAGAAGACCTAATCCATCCAGCCTAAAATAAGTTTCTTGGAAATTTTGTGAGAAGTAAAGACAGCCGATGTGATATTGACCTTTCACCCACTGAGTACTGACTGATATTTGATAATATGGGACCAGCTTTCTGAGTCCTTTGGCATGAAGACTAGACTTGATATCAGCACTTGTGTGTGTTGGGGGCTAAGTGGTCTCAAGGTATGGTGTCCACCTCGAGTGCTGGAGGTCCTGGGTTCAAGCCCCGGTTAAGGCTGGGATTTTTTCACGTGGACTTCTAGTTATTTCCCCTAGTCTCTGAGTTGTAAGATTAGATGCCCATGTGTATTCTTGCGCACACACACAAAAAAATCCCTTGGTATTTGGAAATCAAAAAGAGTAGCCTAACGGTGCTGCCCAGGCAAAATTTGGAGTTGAAAATCTACCTAAAGTATTTCAGGATCCTCGCCGGTGCAACTGAGTTCGTGCACTTCGCTGAGATTCTTCAGACTCAGGTTTGAGTTATAAGTAGAACGAAGCATTTATGGGTTACACCTATGTGCTCTGATGTTGATCCGTCGAATAAACAAACATAAACTTGTGTGCGTTACCAAGGTCAGGGAGCAATGTACAGCTGATTACTGATGCTTCCATCATGACACTGCTATGAACCATTTTCATGTTACAGAAAGAGATGGGATAGTCATGTGTGTGCTTGGATGACAGCATCCCGTATGACACAGATATTCAACTAAGTTCACTCAGGGGCCAAAATTGTTTGATGTTGGGATGGTCAGGAGCCAAAATTGTTTGATGTGAGGATGGTCAGGGGCCAAAATTGTTTGATGTGGGGATGGTAAGGGGCCAAAATTGTTTGATGTGGGGGATGGTCAGTGTCGTATGGCAGTTTTGTCGCGCACCTTACTTGCAGGATATTTTCACAAATCCCTCAAGTGCTCTGAGACAGGAGTGTTTTGAATGGTGGCTCTCGTTTGTCTAGAGGCCTAACCCTCGGTTCAAACTTTCCATTCAACCTGTCTCAGGGATGAGGTGACACGAGCTCTGACTCCACAGGGTTATTATGAACACTTGGGTACCTCTCGGCCAGACGTCCCCACCACTGATATGCCCCCAGACTGGAACAATGAAAGTCCAATCGAACAAACAATCAACAGTGAATATGACAAGACAGGACCACCTTTCTAATACTACAATGAATTCCAATTAGACAAAACTTTCCTAATAACTAGAAGGCAGATGAACTCAAAATTCAATGTAATAAGTTCCTTGTAACCAAGCTGACGAAAAATAACCTGAAGAATTAACTGAAAGAATATTGAATTCTTTAAAGAACAATGTTAGTGAAAAGAGTCTTTCTCCTACTCTACGTTTCTGTCCAGTATCATCATGGTTGAGGAGTCGGATAGATTGTAAAGGCCCATTTGGAATCAAGCTGCCTTAAAGTGTCACTTTGACTTATCTGTTTAGATCTTGTAGCTCCTCAGGATGCTGGAGGGAAGTTTCAGACTGCTGTATTTTACGATAGGACTTCTCAGGAACAAGGCTGCTTCTCCGGATGCCGGAATAGATCTTCACATTACCGAACTTCTCCGCGCGACTGCACAAGAACGAAGCAGCTTTTCCTGATGCCGAAAAGAAGTTTCACTTAGCCGTGTTTCATAACACGACTTTACAAGAAGGAGCAGTTTCTGGCGTTGATCGAGGACAAACAACCTGAGCTCAGAAGACGTCGACTCAAGTATCGTCCACACGTTCAGCACAGCAATTCATCAACCGACAATTGCTTAATGGGTGGTGGCAGATGGATCCAGTCTACCAGACACCGACACTTGTTGGATCTTCATAACCTGAAAAACACAAAGCAACACCCATGAGCGAACCGTAACCAAGGCACCTGGTCAATCAACATCCTTACCATCTCCTCATGCTCAGATAAACTTGAGGTTATTCCCAACCATGAAGGTTGGTCACCTCTATCTTGGAATCCATTTAGTTTCCTAGAGTGAGCACCAGATCAATAACTCGAATATTTCCTGGATTCCGTTCTGTGGCAAAGGTTAGACAGATCCCCATTATTTACCCTTCCTTCTAACGTAGAAAATAAGGGATCGGCGTTGAAGTCAAAACCAAGACCGATTGAAATATGTTCTGAAAACAATACGACAGTCGAAGCTTGTTGTGGTTACGAAATCACCTAGCAACAGCGGACATGACGTCATGCGTGCCCAGAAGCTTCTTTTCATTCACAACAATTCAGCGACTTACCAAGTTCTGATACCGAATAACAGCAAAGAACTAATAATACAAAGTTATCAATACTACAAACCCACTCCAGATATGTAGATTGATTGATTTGAAGAGGTTTAAAAGGCCATTTCGAAGCATTCTGTGAGAAATGTCAGCCGAAAGTGCATTCCGATCCGGAGCTCCTTTCGCCGTCTTCCTTCGCAAGAATCGTAGGCAAACAGATTCGCATTATCCAGCTGCTGACCTTACTTACCTACATCACAGACACTATGAACGCAAATATTCAATTAAAAGTCCCCATGAAAACTCACCCATGATAAATAAAAAAGAGAATAAGGAATCTTGTCTGTATAACGGTCAATTGGCGAGACACAAGGAAAAACTCCTGCCTCCAAGACCGGACTGTAGAGAAGTGACGCACACAAACAGGTCCCCTAACTACAGCAGTTAGCGTACGAATCCCGCTCACTAATGCAGTGCAGTGGTCAGACAATTTATTTAGAATAGGCGTAGAAAATGTGTCCTAACATGTAATTCGACACTCAAAGCCTAAAAGAGTCATTATCAAAGGGTTTTATAGAGATTTTTACTATCAGGACTCCCGCACAACGAACGAACTATCTAACTATGCTTGGCCTATACTAATACATAGTTACGATGACGAGCTTAGGGGTGTTCAGCCTGTGGACGTTCCTACTGCGGCAGATGTGTGGATGCTGTCATGCGACAGTCAGGGGCCAAAATTGTTTGATGTGGGGATGGTCAGGGGCCAAAATTGTTTGATGTGGGGATAGGGGCCAAAATTGTTTGGTGTGGGGATGGTCAGGGGCCAAAATTGTTTGATTTGGGGATGGTCAGGGGCCAAAATTGTTTGATTTTGGGATGGTTAGGAGCCAAAATTGTTTGATGCTGGGGATGGTCAGTGGCCAAAATTGTTTGATGTGGGGATGGTCAGGTGCCAAAGGCCCAAACCCCAGCCTAGAAAGATCATTAATACAGTACAACAGGCAATAATCTGTGGGCCGCTTGCTAGGCTTCTTCAGATCAGGTTTGGCCCGCTGATGGCCAGTTGAATAGCCCTGGTGTTTAGTGATTATGTTCATATGTTTTGCTTCTCTCCATTATACAGGTACCCTTGGCATTTCGAGCTTATGCCAACAAGGATTTGCCAGGTGCTGAAGACTTCCTGACCTGGCCTGGTCTTGTTGCCAAGTTAGCTGAATTTTCGTCAGTAATAATTACCACATACTCTTGGAGGTCAGTTTCACCGATCTATGTGCATGGTATTGTGAAATTTAAAAATGTGTTTAGCAGACGCTATCACCCTGAGAAGCCACAAACTCCACATTTCTTTCTACGTCTCCTTCCTGTAAATGGCACTTACCCTGAGTTTCAGCTATGACTTGTCCTTGAGAAGTCTAGTCAACTGCTTCGAATTCTATCTGCGCCTGTGCAGTGTTTAGGAGACCTTATGAATATATTTACTAAAAATAGCATTTGGGGTTGGAGGGTTGCTTTCTTATGAATAGAATGGCTTTTTACAGCCATTTTGACATCATAATTTGTGTCATAACCTTAGTGTTAGAATTCATGGGGTCATAAATGAGTCACCTGCTACATTTTGTTTTTAGGTCTCAGGGATATACTCCATTGAACATATTTAATTAATGACCTGTGTCAAAAGATTGTTTTTATAAGATTTTTTCGCCAATTGCAGCGGATTCCTTTTTTTTTTATTCTAACGGGTTTTTAGGGTAGAAGGGTTAATTCCGTGGACAGTTCTTTTTTAGTTACTGCTAGTATTAGACTGTCGGCATCTGTGGCTTAGGCGTTGCAAACAGGCTTCATAATGCCGGGGGGCCGGGTTCGTTCCCAGCTGAGGGCCTTTCGCCGGTTTTGACAGTGGTAATGAGAAGCCGACTGTCAAAAAGCAGTGGCAAACTACTGGATGTAAATTTGCCTAGAAAAACAACAACAGCCCATAAAATGCTGGGGTTGGTTCTGCAAGTCCTGTAAAGGATACGCCACTAACTTTTTTTAAAAAAGTATTGGACTAGGAAAATTACTGAATCTGTCCTGATTTATAGATATGAATCATGAACAGTCATCAGCGGATTAGTGGTTGGGGAAGGGCAGGGGGAATAGACCCACTGTCCCTTACAAGCATGTCCTAAGAGTTGACATTTGGGATTTGCTGAAATCATATTTGTTGGGCTGAAAAGCGCAGATATCATGGGGTGGGACAGCATGATCCTGATGTGTGGAAGTGAATCACAGACAATCATCCCTGTTTGGGTTCTGGGGCCCCATTGTGGGCAAAACAAGAATAGACCCTCTACCTGCTGAAAAGCATGTCATAAGAGTTGACTAGTTGGACGCTTTCTTTGAAGTAGGAGTCAACTGCCTGAGAAGCAAGGAACCAGCAGTCTGCATTCAAATGAGTTTGACCCATGAAACGGATGTGCACGCAACACTCAGTTTCTGGAACAGGACTAGAGCCCAGAAGTAGACGAACAGCCAAAACCTTCTGCAAGAGTTTACAACCGATGAACGCGAAGAAGAAGAAGATAAACAGTCAACAGGATTAGTGAGAAATTATGTAAAAGCTGCAGAGATGCGGTTTTAGTGAAGAATGATAACAGCAAGGGTAGATACAATTTGTAATGATAGTGAATTAAAAATAAATTAGAGACAGGACATTTGACTAAGTGTAACAGGTCTAACTAGGGACAGGACATTTGACTAATTGTAACAGTCTAACTAGAGACAAGACATTTGACTAATTGTAACAGGTCTAACTAGGGACAGGACATTTGACTAATTGTAACAGGTCTAACTAGGGACAGGACATTTGACTAATTGTAACAGTCTAACTAGAGACAGGACATTTTACCAAGTGTAACAGGTCTAACTAGAGACAGGACATGTGACTTAAGTGTAAAAAAAATCAGCATCTGTGGCTTACGCATTGCGAACTCGCTTTATAATGCCTGGGTACCGGCTTCGATTCCAGCTGCGGACGGTTTGTCTTGCTTTGGTTTTGACAGTGGTACATGATCTGACCATTAAAAAAACAATGGCAATCTACTGAACGTAAAATGTGCCTGGTAAAACTACAACAGCCAAAAAATGCTGGGGTTGGTTCTGCAATTTCCTGTAAAGGATACACAACTAACTTAATTCAAAAGGTCTAACTAGAGACAGGACATTTGACCAAGTTTACAGACTTAACCCTAGTGACAAGACATGTAACCAGCTGTAACAGACCTAACAGGACGTGTAACGAGTTGTAACAGACTTTTGAATCATCTTGCAGGCAGTTGCTTCTTATGTTCAATGGGATCGTGCAGAGGATATTCTTGAGTCTCATATTCTTCTTTCTGCTGTGTGTGGCAGATCGTACGTTCAAACAGGTGAGAATAGATGTGAATGTAAACACAGGTGAGAATACATGTGAGGCAGGTGAGAATACATGTGAATGATGTAAACACAGGTGAGAAAACATGTGCATGTAGCAAATTTAAACAAAGCCGGATACCTGTTTCCACACTTGATGGTGTATCGGAGATAGGGTGGTAGCTGCACACTTTTGTATACCAGATAGTGTTCCCCTGTTAGGCACTTTTACTTGCTAGAACATTTCTAAATACCAATTTTTAGGCTCAGTCGGTCTGCCAGTATAGACATGTTAAAACAAATCTAACTTGAAGGTGATTTAAACTGTGACCACTGGGCTGGGAGGAAAGTGGGCTAGGTACTATGCCACCACAACTCCTTAATGTTGTATTCTCATGCAGAAATAAGTTATAAACTGAAAGCCTGCAAGAACAGTGCAATCTTAACTTTCTTCTACTTTTTTTTTCTTCCTCCTCCTCCTCTTTTTCTTCCTCTCCTCCCCTTTCTTCTCCTCCCCTTTCTCTTCTTCTCCTCCCCTTTCTCCTCCTTCCCTTTCTCTTCTTCTTCTCCCCTTTTCTCTTCTTCTTCTCCCCTTCCTCCTCCTCTATTTCTTCATTCTTCTGTATTTGCCCTTAAAAGGATAGTTGTCATGTTGTGTAGTGGATTACAACTAGGCTGCAGTACCTTTTGGCTCAACACTTCCTGTTCCCGCAAACCTTTAGTTAGTCAGATTTTATCTCATGCTTGTTAGAGTCTGCGAGTTTTTCTCTCGCCCTCTTCCCCCCTTCCCCGCAGCCACAAAGGGTGTCTCAGAACCTGCACAGAGAGCATCAAGCAACTGCACAAGTCTAATGATATATGTTATTAGACCTCTAGATTTCAGATATATTTATCTCCGTGTGGGGGAAACAAGAATAGACCCACTGCCTCCCTAACCAGCATACCGTAAGATTCTACTAATTAGGGGTTTCCTTTGAAGTCAGAGTGCATCTGTGTGAGAGGCAATGAACCAACAGTCTGCATACAAATAAGCCCCAACATAGAAAGATCAGTCATACAATACAATTGGCAATGATTCATGGGCCACTTGCTAGGCATCTGAGGGCCGCATTCATCCTGCGGGCCCTGCCTTGCACTAACTCACACTATGATATTTTTCACTGTAACTGATTCTGGCCAATATGGTTATTTTGTTTAACTGTTTCCAATAAGAGATTTATTAGTTTCAGTAACAGCTGCTTCAAATAGAAAGAGTTTGAAAAATAAATGCCTGGCACAGAAACAAATTTGTGCCAGTAGTGAGACTGGAATGGCAGAATATTAGACGGGCCTGCGTGCCTGGTTCCCAACCATTCAAAAATATAGTTGGCTTGCTCGTTGGTTCTGTTTATCAGAATGTCTCTGTTTTTATCTCCTCAGCGTTTGCTGTATGCTAAGCACTTCAGCTACTTGACCTCCTTTAGACGAGCCCGCAAATTCTCCATGCCTCACTTCAGACTCAACAAAGTCCGCAACATCAAGATCTGGTTGTCCCTCAGATCTTATTTAAAGGTGAGTTGGCACTTATTTTTTCTTAATTCTGTTGGCATCTGTAGCTTGGGGGTACTGAATGAGCTATAAAATTCTGAGGTACCTGGTTCAATTCCACAGTTTGACAGAAGACTACTTTGTGTTAATTTTGACACTGGTATGAAGAGCCGACTGTTCAGGAATCAATGGCAAACTACTGAACTTAAAATTGCCTAGTAAAACCAGACAGAATCTTTCTGGACCTGTTCCTGCCCTGACGCTGCAAAGCATTCCAGGAATAGAGACGAGAAGAATAAGAAGAAGAAGCAAACAGCCAAAACATACAAATCTTGGTTCTGCAATGTCCTATAAAGGATACATAACTAACTTTCAAATTTGTAAATATTTTATGTATTGTTGTTATAAAAGTTGTGTTGATGGCCATTTGCAGCCGTTGTATGTAGTGGTTAGTGAAAATGTCAGCTTGAACAGAGGTTTCAGTTCAGTTCCTTTAGAGAAAAGATATAAACCCGAATGAAAAGTATATCAGCAAGCTTCACAATATAACAAACGCAAACAAAACATGAACGTTGCGGCTGTGGAACCTTCATCAGCACACAATCCCTGTAGAGGCAGGATGTTTTTTCCAGTCATTGGGGATGAGTGCAGTTTCTGTAAAATGAAGAAGCTGATCGAAATAAAGGTTGGTACAAGGCGTTAAAGATGCACTGGCCATGAAAGCACATAGTCCTGGAGAATTGGCCAGAGAAAGAGCAGTATTCTGTAAAGGACCTGCTGAGTGATATTGATGATGGATGTGGGGGGTCAGCTGAGCTTCATATTCATAGTCCATCTATCATACAGTGAGTGCCAAATAGTTTTCAGAATCTCCTGAGAATGATATAGGAAGGAAAGGCAGGAAGATCTGGCCTATTTGATAACCATTTCTAAATATTGCTGCTACAGCTGTTAATTAATGTATTATTTATAGCGACGAGGCCCTCAGAGATCTGTTGACGTGATTGTGTCTGCTTGTTTCCTGGTTGCAGTCAGCATCGTGTGTCTTGTTTCTATACAAGTGAGTACATCAATTTGTTTTCCAGGAAATATCACAGTCAAGTGAATTAGTTTAAACTGTTTAATTAGGCCTGTCACATTGTGGTTTCAGTTGAAACTAAAACATTTAGTGGGAAATGTCTTTGAAAGTAAAGGTTGCTGGTAGGTTTTGAACCAGATCCTGCATCAAGTGCTAATTGGTTTATAAAATGTGTTTAGCACAAAATATCTGATAGGTCATTTGTGTAAATAAGATCCTTTACTGTCTGACGTGACGTGCTGTGAGTATATTGTTCTACACCAACAGTCTACTTTTGGGACTTTCATTGAACCAATTCTTAGTAAATCGTCTTCTTCTCCATCCTGTTCACCAGTTGTAAACTCTGGCTGAAAGTTCTGGTTGTTCATCCACTTGTAGACTGCAGTCCTGTTCCAGAACCTGAGTTTTGCGTGCACATCTGTTTTACAGATCTGGCTCATTTGTATTTAAACTGTTGGTTCCTTGCCTCTCAGGGAGATGCACTCTGACTTTGAAGAAAGCTTGCATCTAGTTGACTCTGACGACATACTTTAGGGTAGGCAGTGGGTCTGTTCTTGTTTTGCCCCCTTTAATAGGGCCCCCTTTAATAGGGCCCCTGAGCCCACACAGGGAAGATCTTGGTAAATAAATGTTGCTCCCTGTGTGGGTTCCGGGGCCCCATTGTGGAGGAAGAAAGAATAGACCCACTGCCCCGCTAACAAGCAGGACATAAAAGCTGATTAATTAGGAGTGCAACGTCAGAGTGCATCTGCCTAAGAGGCAAGAAGCCACAGTCTGCATACACACAAGCCAGATCTGTAAAATGGATGGCATGCAGAACTAAAGTTCTACAACAAGATTAAAATCCAGAAGTGGATGAATAACCTGAACTTTCCTCCTGAATTCACAGCCAGTGAAAGCAAAGAAGAAGAAGAAGATTTCCCCTAGCTTTCCACACCTGTTATTTGTAAAAGTGTCTTATCCTACTGCTTGCTGTAATCTGGCAGATGTTGAAAGACACAGTCAGCTTTCTGGACTATTTGTGCAACTGGGAGCTGCTGGTCTGGTGCATTGCCCTGGCTGTCTTCCTGATGCGGTTCATGACCCTTGGTCTGAAGATCAACAAGAAGTACGGCAACCTCTCTGTGCTGATCACAGAACAGATCAACCTCTACCTGCAGATGGAGCAGAAGCCTCACAAGAAGGAGGAGTTGATTCTTGCCAACAATGTGCTTCGTTTGGCAGAAGACCTTCTCAAGGTTTACATTTTAATATCAATTTTAGTTCTTTATTTTCTGTACCTAAGAATGACTCTTTTACACTAAAGTTTATACAACCCTGCGGGCCATCTGTATCAGCTGTCATAAACTGCTAGATAAGATTATTGAAACATCCTATTTCTGAATGTCTTATGAAGCTCTGTGGCAAAAAGGTTAGTGAATGCAGTTAACAGTTTCATGATCCTTGAGTACTAGGATTCGTTCCCACCAGTGCATGGTTTAAAAAAAAAATTGTTTTCTTGGTTTTCAGACAGTGATTTGAGAGTTGCACCACGGAAGAAATTGAGGCCTTACCACGTAATATTCCTAAAAAGAACAGTGGTACACTGTGCGCAACTTTCTTTGTTTAGACGGTATAGATTCTCTTTCTCTCACATAATATTTAAAATTCTTTGCCACTCGTGTTTGTGTATACCTTGTTTTTCCTTTACCGGATATCTGAAATTGTGTGGGCACATTTTCTGTCAGATCATTGTCAGTGTTATTTTTTGAAGGCAGATTCTAATATTCAACTATTGATATTTTGAAATTACACATTCTACTGAAAATTAAAATTTTTTCTAAACAATTCTATTACCAGCATTTATGTTCTGAGTGGAAGATAAGCTTGCTACGGTTACTTCCCATCACTGTCTGTTGAGTATTGTATTGTCTGAATTCTACTCCATCTTTGACTTTTATGTGTCTTTCCAATCTTTAAGACCATTTGTATCTGTTGTTCTTCGCCATGTTGTCTTTGTACAGCCTTATCTTTTCCTATGGCCACACACTTAGGGTATTTGACTATTTTCCTCTTTTTTTTTCTTTTTTTCCTGACTGTATGTGGCAGGGCTGTATTATTGCATAGAAGGCATCTGCAGCAGTAGGTAAATCTGATCAGGTCTTGTAATGAGATTTATTATTGGTTGCAGGAATTGGAAAGCCCTTTCAAGATATCTGGTTTTTCTGCCAACCCACTGATCTACAATATTCTGCGTGTGGTGGTGCTGTCAGCTTTCTCAGCTGTCCTCACTGAAGTCCTTGGATTCAAGCTCAAGCTGCACAAGATCAAACTCAAAGGCTAACACATGTTAGCTGTTGCCAGTTGACTCATTTTGTCAATTTATACGCGTTGTCATTTGATACATGTTGTCAATTAAGTCGTATTGTCGTATAACTTGTGTTTGCTTATTGGGCATACTAAGTTAAGTAAAGTAAAGTAAGGGACCCTTTTCCTCACCTTCAGGTGTATTTGGCATATAGGGCTAGACCTATATTTTATAGACCAAGTGACACTTGGTTAACGGGATGTGGTCAGAATCAAGCTGGCCACCTTTACTTCCCAGGACTTGACCCGTTACCCATTTAAGACTGCGTCGACCTGGGAGCCAAGGTCATTTTGGAAAAAAAGTCAGGATCTGAACTCACGACCTTCTGATCTGCAGGCAAGCATCAAACCGCTACACCACGGCGGCTCCCACTGGGCATACTAGTCACATTAAATTGTTTTTCTCCTGGGATCTCTGGACCCAATTTTAGAGAGGAAAAAAAAGGACTTACTGCCTCTTAAGTCTTTTGGTACCAGAGGAAAAGTAATTATAAATTGACGCAGGAAGCTTTCTTGATTACCAAAGAGTTAATGAACATATCATATAAGATGTAATTAAGGAGTTACTGAAACTGGATATGTGGGGGCTGAAACATGCAGATATCACAACCATAACACAATGTGTTGACTGCCCTTTTAATGTTGAATGCAGAAGAAACAGATATTGAATTGTTGATGTTGTTAAATCCTTCAGGGCACAGATGAATATTTGTTGTATTTTTTATTGAATGAAATTGTAAGAATCGCTTTAATCCGTGGTTAAATATGGAAGTGTTTCTGGTTTGGGCATGGCATGTGAAGTGGTCGAGCTGTTTGCTTCACGCTGTAAAGGTCTGAGTCTTTCATGGCCGTGTCGTTTAGTTCAGGAGTACAAATTTATGGATATCCCTGAGGGTCATCACTCGAGGAATGGAGTTTGTGCTTTTTTGCAATGCTTTGGCAGGTGGAAACTGTCAATTTTGTGGAGACACATGAGCTGCTTGGAAAATAATTGGTCCAGTGAAGTCAGTATCCTCTCAACTTCACTGGGTTTTTTTTTTTTGGGGGGGGGGGGGGGGGGGGGGGGGGGGGGGGGGGTAACTTTAATATTACATGACATCATCTAAGAGGTTATACTTAAGGGAATAATTGTGGATAAGGAAGAAGAGAAAGACAACCTTTTTGCCTCAAGATCTCTTAAAAACTACAATTTTTACACAGGTCACTAATAAATTTCTTTATCGACATATTATTTAATTTTTTCTAATATGTATAGAAATATGAAAGAAGTAATCAATAAACATGCACGGTGCAAAGCATTAAATAGACTACGTCCTCTGGGGCACATTGGTGAGAACAAAGACTGATAGAAGATGAAGTTCTGATACTTCCATTAGAACACCCCTGTCTGGGGTTACTGCGTCATATGACAGATATATATTGTAAGAAGTATGTATTTCAGATATATATTGTAAGAAGTATGTGTTTAAAGGATACATGTTCATAAGCTCAGATATTGCAGCCAAGCAGTCAACCACAACATCACCTGCCAACCGTTCTTTCCAGGGCATATAAAGAAAAAGAAGAGGAGTAAAACATCTCTGAATAAGATCAAGATGGCCACCATGCTCTAGAAATTCAGTGAGTAGAAGCCCTACAAACTTCAGGCAACCCAAGTATTCACACTCAACTGGGTCAGCCATATCATGCATATTATTGTGCACTCTTGCACACTTTGACCTCAAGTATACTTGTTAGTGATGCAAGTTAGCACACAACACTGATGAAATACGGCTAAGTATGCCAGGTAGTAAACTGTGATCTGTTGTTTATGTCTTTGATGTTCATATTTACAACTGGGGAGCATTGCTTTAGTATGTTAAGTAATTTATACCGTGTTAATACTTTGTATAGTAAGACTTGAGAGATAAAGGATTGGTGCAGTGTTTATTATAGTCCGAAGCTGTCTCATTTACACTTATTGTTATATTTGTAAGGCTGGCTAAGAATAGAAAATGTTCTAGCCACAGCTTTTTACTTTTTTAGACACGTATTTATAATTCCACAGTCACTTTAACTCTTAACTTAGCATCAGCCACTAGATATAACAAATTACTTTGTCCAGCAGGACTGGAAGTTCATGCATTCAACTCTTGGAGATCAGGAATCCAATATTTATGGTTGATATTTTCAAATGTTTTAGTTTGGGTACCAGTAATTATGGCTGGTACCATATTTCTGTTGCATTTCTTCTGTTTATCATTTCTATAAAAATATTTAAGTAAGAGTGGACCACGAGGTTGACCAAGTGCATGACTAAGTGAATGATTGGATGATGTAATGCAAGCTGAACATGAATGATACAGATATTGAGGAGGATTCATGGTAGCAAAATGTCAGGGACCGCATTGAGCAGAAGAGGAAAACCTGGAAGGAAATAGGAATAAAGGAAGAAAAACATTTAGCAGAAAGGTTGAAGCTGAACGTCTGAGAAGAAGCATTCTTCTTCTTCTTCTTTTCACTGTCTGTAAGTTCCGGCAGAAAGTCCTGATTGTTCATACATTGGGACTTGGGCTTTGTACAGGGTCTGAGTTATGCATGTGCATCTGTTTTACTGGCTTTTGTGTGCAGCTGGTTGTTCCTTGCTGCTCGGCAGATCCACTTCAAAGGAAGTCCCCAATTAGTTGACTCCTACAACATGCATATTGGGGAGGCAGTGGGTCTGTTCTTGTTTGTCCCACAATGGGACCCAGGAACCCACTCAGGGAAGACGTATACTAATTACACATAATAGCAATGAAGGTCCTGAAATCCAATGCTCCAAGTGTAGAAGATATTTACCTAATACCATGGGCTGTGAATCCCATGACTCCTCATAGTACAATATAACCCTGTCCTCTAGAAAGACGGAAAGGTGCCAACTAACCCCTTATACCAAATCTAGTGATCAGTGCATTTCCATGAACAGATTGGATGGTCTTCTTTTTTTCTCGCCTAATAACTCACTGGCCACGTAGGAGGAGGATTGAATATTGACTTTTTAATCTAAAACACAGATTACAATGAAGAACAGCAGTTAGTCCAGAAGTTTTCAACCTACCTATTGTGACCCTTTTTTGGGTTGTACGACTCTTTCACAGTGCTCAAGAATACGCCAATTGGGATTCAAGATCGGCACAGCCAAGCATTAGAAGCACACTGGACGCACACAAAGTTTTGTTAACTAACATAGGACTGGTACTATTAACCGCACGACGCTGATGAATATGTTGAGAGGGGAATCTGAGCGCCTATGTGTAATGTTGTGAATTCCCGGGGAAACCCCAGAGAGTTCCCGATGGGGAGAAAAAGGTCGGAGGACCCGTGAGAGAAGAGAAAAACGGGAGAAGTGAGTCTCGTGTGTCTCATGGTAAACGAAGTGAGAGACACAAGAAAAGCATGAGACGTGAACGGAAGACGTGAACCGAGAGACTGAAGTAAGACAGTTGAAGTTCTGCCCTGACTGAGAGAGGACGCGTGAATGAACGCCTGAGAAGAATAAATGATTTGTCAAGTGAACGTTATATTTCAATAGGAGGACTGAATGTTTTTCCATACGTCGTAATGTCAGATATCAGAGTCCATGAAGTATAGATGGATGGTTCGAGAGGCGCTGATAAATTCCTGTAGTGTATGGGAAGTCCGTCCAGGTCGCTAGATTCAGCCAAGCAAGTCGAGCACGAGGAAGCATGAATGTATGTTTGCGATAACTGGCGATTCAACGAATAAAAGCAAAGAACTCAATATTCGTTCATGCTGTGTCGTTTCAACTCACTGTTCATCTGAAAGCAATGTAAACAATACATGCCCCTAGATGAGCATATTACAAGTGGAGGCTCTAAAACGGACACATCCGGGACAAAAAACAACGACAGAAGATAACCGGAACATCACTGAAAACACAGCGGATTGGACCAATTGAACTCGACAGCTAATAACGGAGCTGAACAGTCAATGTAAGTGGCGTTCTGTGTCAAGGTCGATTTCCAGTAATCGTCTGAGGTAACAGCAGTTGTTAGTCAAAATTTATTTGTTCAGAACAAGCAACGACAAACACGGCCAGTTGGACCAGTTAAACTTCAAAGCTCAAAGCGGGGCTGCAGAGTTGACGTAAGTGGGGGACTGGGTCAAGGCCGCTATACAGCCATCATCCGTGGTAACACCAGTTGCTGTGTCGAAATTTACCTCAAGAAAATGTGTAGAAATTTCAAGTACAGTTTTTCTGTGTAAGGATGGCCAAATTCGCCACTGGGTAACGTGTCGAAATTAGTTATCGTTACAGTATCATCATAACAACTATACCACGCATCGTTACAGTGGCATCATAACAACTATGCCGCGTATTATTACAGTGTGATCGTAACAGTTATACTACACATTGTTACAGTGTGATCGTAACAATTATACTGCGTATTGTTACAGTGTGATCGTAACAACTATACTGTGTATTACAACATCAAATTAGTCATCAATCAGTCCAGTGTTTGAAACAGTAGTTGCAAAGGGCAACAGCCACCAAGTACAGTGATCACTAAACATGCTAACATAACGTAAGTGTGTTAAGACAAGGCATCTAGCTGAGTGACATTGATCAAACGGACAGCCAACTTATATCCACATATCTGATATAACATGCAGCTAGCGGAACACCGCTAAACGAACATCCGTAGCACAGGTAGAACAAATACACGTGCAGAACAGTTTTCTGCGAGTTCCTTCAAGTCTTTAGAACAGACAGTCAGTTTCCATGAATTATTCAGATTGACATCCATGTTCAACTTATAGACGAGTGCCGCTATTTTTCAAAAAAGTACACTACTTCCATGATGAACCACAATATGAATTCAGACGGGTAGTGGCCAATTAATGAAGTGACATTACCAACCGGAAGATTCAATTGCACGACACGATCTACAAGAGACTCGTTCAATATATTTCCGTACAGCCGAGAAGTGTGCT